CTTTTTTTTTTTCTGTCTTCCCCTCCTTTGTCCCTGCGACAGGATAATTACTGTCAAGTAACCGACTTGTTGAAGGAAACCAGACAATATAAATATGTAAAAATTGTTGTAAAGTGGTTATTAAAAGAATAAATGAAGAAAGTATAATTGCTAAAGAATAAATATTAATATGGTTAAGTGCAGGTTCGTCTTGTTCGAAACAAAACTGTTGGATGTATCCACTTAGCTTTTAAGTGCAATTACACATGCCATATTTGATGTACAAGTGCAGTTACCTTCACGAAATGACATCCACTAGTGTCATTTCAGGTACGTCGTTTGACCTTCAAAAGGTATTGAGTGAATACTACTCTCAGTAAGACTTGTTTGCTTTGATATCAACGTTAGATAACTGACTTTTTTTAAAAAAAAAAATATTATTACGAAATAATCAATAAATATCAATTTCTGACAATATTTTCCGGCATTGTTATGCCATATTAAAAATTCCACAAATTTTTATATGTTAAGAAACAATCAAAAAGTCTACAATTTATATTGTTTACTAGCATTGTTATGCAACAAATTAGTTTACAATTTATATTATATTTTCAAGCAGTTTCTCGCAATAAATATACAATCTACAATTTTTATACAGCTAAACCTCTAAAGACGGAAACATTTAAAAATTGGCCGTGGTTTACAGGTTATTTTGTATACATTTTTGTTAACTTATGATAATTTTTTATAACAGATCGATGCATAAATCCTCAGCATCTTGGAGATTTCCTTATATTTTGCAACATCCATAAGCATTTGTATGTAAATTTTAACAAGATTTCCATCACATAATCATATAGGCCTATATATATAACACGAAATATCGTATATTCACATTATTATTCTTCAATTTCGTCTTTTATAATATTTCCTAAACTTTATTGCTATCCTATACATAATTTTAACTCGTTGTAAGTAAAATTCCCTGCAGGAGACGTAAGAAAATAAATAAATAAATAAATAACATAAAAAATAGCTGGGCGTGATTGCTAATGTACAAGATCGTGCTGTTGTTATCTATAAATTTAATGGAGATAAATTTGCACGTGGTAGAAGAAAGATTTCACAACAAGAATTTATATATTTTTTAAAAAAGAAAAAAGTATGTTAACGTCTCGACAAAAAAATAAAATAAAATAAAATAAATTGATGCAGCAGTATATCTTTATAGACTATAAATTGACTCGAATACCATTCTTTCCATTAATACTACAGATTAAAACTAGTTGTATATAACTATGCCCGAACATAAAACACTTCCATCTAGGTTATAATCATAAAAATGACATTATGTTTAAAGCTGTCAACTGTGGTATATATCAGGTCATGGACATTTTAAGTGGCAAGTTGTGATGATGAATGCGATGTAGGCGAGGATAACGTAACTGGTTTTAATCAGATTGTGGTTGGGTGACAACCCTATGAATATTTATTATTCGGTAACCTGACTTGGTTGATTGAATTTCGTTTATTAAAATTATTTGATTGGCATTTTTTTTTTTTTAAAAAACTCTTAAATATTGCTTAACTTGTTACTAAAACATTTTATAGATATATTGAAAGATTCTTAAGAGTTTTAATATTTTCTTAAACCTCTTATATATATATATATAT